ATCTGTTTAATCTATTTATCCATTCATTTATCTATCTATGATTTCATTCATTTACCTTTTCATCTACTATTCATTCATCTATCTATGATTTCATTCATTTATCTATCCATCTACTACATTCATTTATCTATTAATCTACTATTCATTCATCTATCTATGATTCCATTCATTTATCTATTCATCCACTATTCATTCATCTATCTATCCATTTACTTATTAATTTACATATCCATTTGTTTATTTACAAATCCCAAAACCCGAAGCTCATTTCACCTTCTACGCTTATCATCAGCTGACGATGAAACTATTAAGGATACTTGTATAATGTTTAGGTCTGAATAATTATCCTATTGTTGTGTCTTACTTTATTGTTTCCTGAGGATACCTATTTACCGTGGGTTGAGTACATAATTATTTTGTCAACATAACTATTTACATTTGGCATCTAAGCATAAAAAAATAATCTATTTTACGAAGTACACATATGAATAGTATTTAAAATGCGAAGAGAAATAAAAATAAGCTAGGAGCACTCAGAGGCCGCATACCTCTGCCAAGGCAATAGGGTCACTGATGCAATAGAAATTTTCACACTTGAAAAATTACGTTAAAATCACCTCTTTCTCAAGTTCACTAAGACGTCTGCAATGCTAATGAATCCTTTAAAAAAGTCCTGGACCAAAAATTAATGTCATCTAAGTTCATAATATTTTTGAGTTATCCTGTTAATTAACCACCTAACCAACAAATTAACCAACACTACCAGAAACATTGCCTCCTTATCAAAGGTACAAATCAAAGTTTGTGACTAGGCAAATTCTAGGTGAGAAAATGATGTTGAAACATTTCAGGGGAAACTACGAAATTACTACAATTCCGAAGCATAATACATTCTATCTCTTCCCTCCCTCTCTCCTCTTGTCCCCCTCTCTCCTTCTCTCCTCTCTTTCTCTCCCTACCTCTCACCTCTCTCCTCTTCTCACCTCTTGTTAGAAAGTGTATTTCACGAACCTCCTTCGGTGTTCACATTAAGACAAGGTACATGTAGTTGTTAACTTTACACTTATCAACCCCCGGGGAGAGCTTCCTTTAAAACACTTATAATCTCGTTTCGAAGATTTCTTTAGACTATACATAGATTATATTTAACGATACGTGTATGCGTGTATTTATGTGTACACACGCACAATGTATATATATATATATATATATATATATATATATATATATATATATATATATTAATATATATATATATATATATGCTTACACGCACACACAAACGTATTGTTGAATCTAATCTATGTCAAATCTAAAAATCTTCGAACCGAGATTATAAACTTTTTTTAAGAAAGCTCTCGCCGGGCGCTGATAAGTGTTAAGTTAACGACTTAATATTAGCTTGTCTTTATGCGAAAATCGAAAGAGGCTCGTGAAATATATATATATATATATATATATATATATATATATATATATATATATTATATATATATAGAGAGAGAGAGAGAGAGAGAGAGAAGAGAGAGAGAGAGAGAGAGAGAGAGAGAGAGAGAGAGAGAGAGAGAGAGAGAGAGAGAGAGAGAGAGAGTGTCACAAATTCATGGTGAGAATCCGAAATGATATTCGTGTGAATAAGAATAAGAAAAAATACCGCTAATATCAGTGATTATCGAATATAAACAAACCCAAGGAATCAGATTCAAAACAATGATCCTCAAAATATTAATCATAACTTCATCATACCTTAGGAAAACCCACCAAAGAATCATAAGAGCCGCACTTACAATATTTAGCATGATTTTCGAAATCAAACTAAGCCACATTCGGAAGTGAAATTGAATAGTAACATTTCTAACTCGCCAAGCTTTCTTATCAGACGAAAAAGTTATTCGAATATTTGGTCGTCTGATGAGGATGTCCAGAGGTGTTCGAAACATTACAATTACATTTCAGTTCTGATTTTTTTTTTCTTCATCTTTGTGTACACGTTACTGCTTGTGTGTGCGTGCTTATAATATTCGAGGTTACAATATAAATTACCGTGCAGCGAAATTCGCCAAGACTATTTGGTTCTAATGGCATGCGCTAATATTAGTTACATCTGTTACTTGCCGAAGACCAGGGCATGAATGAGTAGGATATAGACGTCAAAAATGTATTTCGAAATCTTTAGGAACTTAAAAGGCAAGATATCACGAACCTAAGAATTGCGAGTCTCCAAGTTTAAGAGCATAAGACTTTATGTATAAGTTAATGTAAGTTTATGTTACTAAAAAAATGCATGAAACCTAACCTAACCTAGAAACAAAAACAAAAATAGACATAAAACTTTATGAAATTAGAAACTTATAAACGTAAATTTCTTTTACAGATAACTTTACTGGTCTTGTAGGTTAGCTTTATGCAGTGGATATATGTATAGACTGGCCTATGAAATTATAGATTTATTCTAATTTATAAATATAAATTATATGTAAATGGGACTGTATGAAGTTAGGGTATATGAATACTAACACAAATTATCTTTCGTTTGTAATTTATGAATCTCTGTTAATCAATCATTATCTTGAGGAATAATATTGTTATGCTTTTATAAACAAACACAAAGGCGGATATCCGATCGTGGAAATACATACATCATTTAGTGCAAAACCTGCCATTCCCAAACAGTTGAAAAAGAGAAATGTATCATTACACCCACAGTTGCAGCAAATTCTAAAATGAACGAAAAAATAAACAGTGTCACCACACGTCTTTCCGGATGAAGTTTCGAAACTACGCTTCACTTTATTCTCGCCTTTAAAACAATGCCGCACTAAGGTGATGGACTTTATTCCAAACCGACGTGGACGTTCCAATGTTCTTACTAATTGTGGGTTATTCTTAGCTGGCGGACGACTCCTCTTAATTATACCTCTGTACTGATGACCTGCTGCGACGTTTTTTTTCTGTTTTCAGTTGCTTAGTACATTTTTCTTCGTCCACAAATAATATGAGCGAATTTGTTTTGTTGAATGAATTGTTTGGCCTAAACATGTCTGCAACGGACGATAAAGGTTGTATTGTTATATATTGTATATATGAAAGTCATGCACCTTTTGATTCGCAATCAAGTCTCTTCGAAATATAGATAATTTAGACAACCTAGATAACTAAATCTGTAATGTTGAAAAAAAACAAAAAAAACAGAAGTACTGGTCTTCAATTCTTCCTCTTTGTAAAATACATATACCTTACAATTCAAATTCAAACTCATATCACATCGTTTCCTACAGTCAGACAAAAAAAAAAAAAAAAAAAAAAAAATCTTTCTTTAGCCTCTTAGTTTCTATATCCTTTTCCTGTTTTCTCATTCAATTATTATCAGCAGTAATGTAATGACTAAACATAAAGATGAGACTGCAGTAAGAGGATATTGCAACGAAGGCGACATTGGAAGTCCTGCAGAGTCTGCGAGGTTCCCAGGACCTGAAAACAGC